TTTTGGCGAGTAAACATCACAGTTTGCGTGACTCAAAATTTGGCCGAGTGGAAGCTTGGGTCTGGTCGCAGACAAAACTGCGAAAAAAAAAAACCACGGCGGCGGCTAATAAGTGGTAGAGTAAAAACGTTTCCTGCACTCTTATCTTTCTTTTCGCACTCTTCTGTTTTTTTGTTTTTTTTTCAGTCACTTGGATATAATTTTGGCCCTTGAGGAGTATAGCTCACTTAGTACAAAAAAGCGCACTTTTCTTTAGCCACGTTTGCATAAATACAGTAATATACAGCCATATATAGATGGACCTATAACCAGGGGGACTACAACCGGGATTTTACGGTAACCGGGAGTTCTAAGAGAGCTCGAATTAGCGAGGTCTAACGGAGAGTCTAAAATTGGGGGGACGGGGTGGTGACGGTTTACGATCGTTTCGATACAAATGGAAGTCGATTCGATACACATCTAACACATCTAACCGCAAACATCTAACCGAAAACAGGCCAACGTAAGTGTTATTTAGGCTGACCAGAGTGCTAACTCAGGCTCACCTCCTGACTCTCACGCCTCACCTCTATTTTTAATTCACAGATGACAACAACCAATGACAACTTCGCTCCCAGGGTCTCGCTCCTTCTTGCCCCCCTGGAGCGAGAGAGAGAGAGAGAGAGAGAGAGAGAGAGAGAGAGAGNGGGGGGGGGTTGGAAGAACAGAGATCCTGGGAACAAGGTGGCGTTATAACGCGGAGTTGTTGGAATCTCGGTTAATTTTCGGCAATTTCTCAGTTGCATTTAATTTTGCAGTTAACAGATAAAATAATAAACACAGTGATTTCTCAGTTGACAGTTAAAACTTTGACCAATTCTCACCTATGGTTTAAACCTCATCCAACCCCCACCCCCAACCCCCCAGATATAATGGCTAGTAAAAAAGATTCACTGGCCACTGATCACAAAGCTAAAGATGCATTATTCAAGGTTTAGAATTTAATAATACTCAATATTTTATAAAACAAGAACATAGTTGGGGGGGGGGGGGAGGGGATCTATGGGCTATAAATTGACCTGACTGTAACATTTTCAAAATAGACTTTTTCTTTTCAAGTAGGAAAAATAATAATAATGATGATGATGATGATGATAAACTCAACTACAGAAATTGGAAGACGGCATAAAGATACAAACTAATTACTGTAGCAATATTTACAGTACAGTTGAAATCGAAACCACTTGGCTATAGTTCAAAGCTTGTGGTTTGCACTTCAAAGTCCTTTAGCTCTTATCCTCACTCATTTAGGAGCGACAAACTGACACCAGGTTATACTGTCTCCAGCACTAATGCAATCTCCTTCATTTGAGATGCAAATTTCTAAAATCAAAACAATAGAGAACTGTTAATGATCCATATCTTAGAAGTTCTCTTCACATCAATCTGTCGACAAAACGTTCAACATAAATTAACATAGATTCTACATCAAATAATTATTGGTTATGTGATTGTACACCTTTAAAATGGATGAGAAAATTACTCCATTGTGATTGGCTACTTAAGAGCAGGCTGATTTACCTTTAATTCTTAATTCGCTCTATAGTGCAAATTAATGTGTACGTGTTCACAGTTTTCTCAGTCATTCAAATTGCACTTGCCTAAATATGGTAAGGAGGTTAAGTCTGCATACAAGCCAAGTGGCCCATCACGCAGGAACTTATCCCAGTTTCTGTAGCATGAGGCGACTAGGAGTATCTCTACTTCCCTCCTGGATGGGATGCTAGTCCATCGCAGGGTTACCCTTAGCATTAAATTCACTGGTGCCCATTTATACACCTGGGTGGAGAGAGGCACTGTGAGAGTAAAGTGTCTTACCCAAGAACACAACACTACATATATGTCCCTGGCCAGAGCTCAAACCTAGTTCACTCAATCCGGAGTCAAGCTCACTAACCATGAAGCCACTGGACCTCCCACCGAAATTAGGGCTTGTGTAATTTTGAGAGACTTTTCAAGCATCATTTGTAATAAAGATCCTTTATTGCACTGACATTCATACAATGGGCCACGTTCGATATATCAATATTTTACCATGGATCCAAGGCTTTTGGGTCAAAATTGCAAATTTGTTAAGTTTCTTTTGTCTCACAATTCCCAAAAGAGACTTAGAAAAAAAAAAAACTTTCCCAAATATAGAAGCTTTTCCTGAAACCCTTGGAGCCATGTTAGAATATTGATATATATCGAATGTGGCCTATTACTAATTGATACAAATTGAACACTTTTTAACCCTATAACCATGATATAATGTTCACTTCTCAATTTATTATCTCACAAAGACACAGAATGAATACATTACAATTTTCCATTTTTCATACCCTTACCTTAAATTCACCAATTGTCATTTCAAAGGACTTAGTACTGGGGGTGCCAGAAGGATCTGTGACTGTTACTAAAGCTGTAATGTAGGGAGAATTTAGACTGCGACATGAACTAGAACTCACACCAACAGATAGCTTCCATTTCATGTTGAGCAACTAAAGAGATCAAACATGGCATATATTAGAAGTGTGCAAAGAAAGTTGTGCCTGATAGCCTGAAGCTAGTAGATTTGCAGTTGGGGTAGTAGTGGTGCCAATGGGCAAGAGAACTTTCTTGAGAAAATGTTTCAACAAGATTCAAATTACAGAAGTACTGTTAGTGAGAGGTGAAATTTTTTTAAGGTGCTAGTGAGAATGATTTTCGAGCTAGTACACACATTGCAGGGATGTGAATCAGAACATAAATTTTTGGCGCAAAAATGTGATTGATGTTTCTCTTGTACATCATAACAGCTTGCCTGAAGGGCAAGCCTGAAAATCGTTTTTCTTTGCACCCTGATTAGTAGAATTCTATTATCCAGTATACTAATCCAAATGCTGAGGGAAAATATTCAGTGAAAAGAAACAGGATCTGAGGATCCAAGGGATGGGTGGGGTGGGGATTCAGCCAGCTGCCTCTATCCTACTCTCCCTTGTTTGTTACTGGCAGTCCTTAGTTTGGACCACAGGTTGGATGTATGTAAAAAGGCTAAAAATAATATCATTTTACTGTTCAATGTACCTTGCAAGCAGTTTAATTTTCTATCCTTGGTTGAACAAATATTATATACATAACTGAACTGCAATGGCATAAATTCAAGTAACATTGGAATTTCAGCAAGAATTGTGAAATAAATTAAGTTCAGTTGAGTCCAAAATGAGTTTTTTTATTGGCCAAGAATAAAAAAATCCTAAAGAACAAGAAATGACACCAAAATATTAAACATCACATTTTTAATACCTGTCCCACATTTAGAGTTTGCATCAAGTCAGAGCTGCTTAATATCTTCCCCTAAAAGGTAAAATCACATGACTAGGGTTGGTGTCCCCATAAAGGACTAATATATATAGATTTAGCCAAGCCTAAAAGCGAAGCTGGCTTACCCCTGTGATCCAATTGAAAACCAGTACCCGGGCAGCAGTCAACTTAAAAAAAAGAACACATGTGACTGCGATGACCTCTAAACTTGAGCCTTCAATATGGTCATGTGATACTGGTCAGCCGATACCTTGTTTTGACAGGTGTCAAGTGACCCTCAAAGATGTACGCTGTAAACCAAGGCAGCATGTCTCAGTCAACCTATTAACGGGGGTATGGCCGTCATGTTACGTGACATCATCATCGTCATTGTGCATATGCGCCAACCAGCAATACCGCTGGCCATGATGACCATGAGAAAGGCCATTCATAGGTTCCTATGAGTATGGAGCTCTGCTCGACCTCCCTTTGGGCCACCAGAGCTCTGCTGCTATGAATGAAACCCTGAACCACTGAAACTTCAAAGTATGGTAAACTGTAGAAATATGCAATTCCTTAAATGTGTCATAAAACACTACAATCAGACAGTACCATACAAGAAAACAAAAACTTACCACACGCTTAGCTCACCTGCTCATTCCAAACATGCTTGATAACTGAAAGAGTGGCCTCCTTCCAACATAAAGATGCTTTTAGTTCTGCAATTAGTTTTTCAGCAGGCAGCTTGGCCTTGGCTGCAGATCTGTTAAAAGTATGATCATACATAAGGTTTGCTGTGAACTTTCATTTTGTACATACATATATATATATATATATATATATATATATATATACAGCTGTCTGAAGAAGTTTGTCCTGCAAAAGTGTAAAAGTGTGCACAACAATTATATCAAACTTAGGTATTATGGGTAGAGGTGATTTACGGTTGCTTGACTGAAGCTCAAGGTGTTTCTGTTTGATAGAAGGAAACAGCCCAAGCACATAACATATTCATCATTTCCCCTTCTTTCTTGCTGAAACACCCTCAGCCTCAATCAAGCAACACCAAACTGTTACTGCCTATAAAATTTAATACCAATCTGCATTGTCACATACCCTTTTACACTTTTGTGGGACAACCTTTCAGTTTTTGTCGAACAGCTGTATATATGTAGCTTTCACTCATAATAAAAGTATGGATCTTGAAGTGAATAGAAAATGAAATGACTGCTTAAGTTTTATCATTTTTTTTTAATGAAACATGATCCAAACTACACCCTCATTCACCCCACCGACTACCACTGTCACATCACACCCTTTTTACCAAGCCCTACTGAAACAATCTCTGATAAATTTCAATTTGGTTATGAAAAAAAAACCCACTATTGTTGAGAATCCAGTATAGTCAATTTGACAGTTCATAGCCTGGGAGTCTGCACATTTCACGTGTTTCCAAATTGGAGAGACATTTTGTAATATATACATAACTCCATATGCAAATGACATTTTGTACAAAACTACATCCACGTGACTTATCCATTTTCTTTATAATTACCTGAATATATAGCTAACAGCATTTATTAACAGCTTGGCATCATATGATATCCCAGCATTGTGAAGACACTACAAGAAAAACAACCTTAACATGAGGAAATTGAGAAATGCTTCAAACAATAATGGTCAACACACACAAAAAAAGATAGTCAAAAAAAAAAAAAGAGTCAAAGCAAAACCCCCATGACATTTCCCCAATCATTGTAAGACTGATCAGATATATAATAAAGTGGCCAATTTAATGATGAACAATTTTCAGTAGCCAATACAAGAAGGCCACTATCAGCCTCACGCCTGAAACCCAAATTTTTTTCCTGACTTCTGTCCTATGATGGTCCCCTGCAGTCCCTTTCACATTGAAACTACCGCAATCTCATTGTGGCACAACCTCATCCCCAGAATCTCCGTGTGTTTGGTCAGCAGTGATCAAGCAGGACAAAATCAAAGCCCAAACCAGAAAATCCTGGTTCAGGTTTGATTGTGCGAGTGCAGTCAAGTTCAATAACAGTTTCCGAACATGTGTTGAGAGAGTAGTCACTGTAACTAATGCTGTTTCATCTTCTTGTTTCTCCCAGAGGTCTGGATTTCTTAAACATAACCAAAAAGATCCTGGCCACCGGGAATGAGATTGGTTGTGGCGTGAAAGTGAGCACGGGGTGAGGCTTTGAGAGGAGAGGGCGAGCCTTGGATGAGGAGGATGTCACCCCAATCCCAGATATTACAAATAATGGGGAGAAGTGCACAAAACAGAAAGAGAGAAAAAGGTGACTTTCCAAAAAGGTTTTTTATTCAATTGGCTATTCTTGGTGCCTCTCTCCACTACCAAAGTGAACACTTGGAGTAAAAGTACTCCTGTCTATATTTCCTGTTTCATACTCATGCACATCCATGCAAATAAATGCTCATAAGATCTTACAAGAAATGGGAAACTGCAAGCAGTCTCGGTCTAGATATCATCTTGGTTTCTACAAGTATTTTCAAATTGATGTGGTATAGAAAAAAGGCGACGATGTCAATAACACTGAAAACACTGGAAACAAAGTGAGGTGGTGTTGAAAAAGATAACTGTGAGTCAAGGCTCAACTGAAGCCTAGCTAGCCATCTTTGCTTTGTGTACCAGGTAAGACAGGGCCTCTCACTACCCAAAATAGTGAAATGGCTACTTGCCAGAGAATTGATAGGACAACGAGACAATCTGCTCAGAATTAATTTATCGTAGACTAATAAGCACTTCATCCAACCAGAGAAGGTTTAATTATAATTAATCCTTTAGTAGGTAGCAGCTCAGTACAAGCCTTTTTTTACAAGCTTCAGTACCTTTTGATATTGTTCCACAGGAAGTAACGAAACCTTGTGTTGAAGAAATGCTGCTACATCCTGGCACTGCAAGGAGAACAAGTACTCTGTACTGTAATTAAAAAAAAAAACAGCCTATACTAACTATTGATACAGTTGGACCCTGCCAATTTGATTTCGGTTAATTCAAATTCTCCATTTCCCTTGGATTTTCCCTTCAGTTATCTACTATCAGTAATTTCAAGCTCCCACTATTTCAAACTACTCTTAGTAGGCCAATTTCCATTTCCCTGGTAGAGATATAATTTCAAATACTCCACCCCAGGAATTAAAACCTGAGCAAATGCTCCACCAAAATGCCCAAAGAATGAGCTGATCCATTTGATTAAGCTTATATCATGGCTTCTTTGGGCATAATATTATCAAATTATATTGTTTATTTACTACAATTTAAATGTATTTTAAATTATATTATTAATATTAAATGTATTTTTAATGATGAAATATCTCTTCACAAGTCTTTCTTTCTAACGCTATAATATCTGTCAAGATGTAATAAAGAAAAAGCAAACATGGCTTGATTCAGTGTCACAAGCGTTAGATCGATGAACTTTGATTTGCGGGCTCAGATGTAGACTTCAGCTTACCATTTCAACAAGGATGTCTTGAGGAAGGGTGTTCAAGGCTTCCACGGCAGAGTTGAAACCTGGCGACCAAACAGCAACAACAAAGACTTAGGTCTTCAAAACATATAGCTGCTCGTTGATTGTTCGCATAAACGTCAAGAAAACCACAAATTACCTTGAGGTACATCGGTGAGGACCTGTGACATCTTCATTCCTTGTCTGCATCAGCCGACTTGTAATCAAGCAGAACCTAAGCAGCGGTTAGGGTCGTTTATGCATAATGCGGCAGACTGGGTATGAACTGAGCCTTCGGATTAGCCCTTGAGTTCAGCGGCTGCAAACTGGAATCCAAAATGGCGGACAGAAACAGTAGTCCTGGTTTTTAAACAAACTTTAGAGAAATCAAGACATAATATGAAGTTGGTAAGAAAAGAAATCTACCAGTTCAAAATTTTAATTGCTTTGGTATTTCGAAAGTTAATTTTGGAGGCTTTCTGTTTTTGTTTTTTTCAGTATTCTTTGGGGAGAACGAGTTCGGCGCCATGTCTGGTTCTCCAGTTCAAAGGTGTAAGCATTATGTTGGATTGTTCGCTGGATATGTCCACGCTGCAGCACTTTATTCCTCTTTCTTTGGTTAACAAGTAAGTGAGTGGAACTACAGCTAGACAATGCATGTTAATCGACCTTTCCACGGTTTCCAATTTTTAAATTGCACGCACAGATGTCATGCATGCATGTGATGACTAAACCTTGCACATCTTGTGATTTCCTATTTATCGAATTTTTTGGTATATTTAGCTTGTACACATCTCATACATCTCATGGTTCGGTTGCAATCTTAATTCAACTGTGAAATTCGGAAAAAATCAATCAAACGTGTGCATTTCTTCTTTAGCTTTATGGTGTTTTCATGTACCCCTTTTATGCTCACTCCACCTCATAATATTCCAATATTTTAAGACCCTTTTTTATCTTTTATGTTAATCTGTTTATTATGGACTCCTCATTAAAAAGATACCTTTTTTTCCCTATGATGTCTGTATAAACATGTTTCAACTGTAATTATAAAGTTGAAACTGATTAGACAATTGTTTAAGAACATTTACATGTTCCTTTTGTTATAGCCTGGGAACAGGCTCCCGGTGAGCCCGAACGAAGCGAGGGAGCCTGTAGACATTCTATTGATGCCGCTGTTCAATGATACCAGCTCCTGGTATCATGATATGATTGGTTAAATTGCTGATTGTTGACATCTTTGAGATAACTATTTGACAGATCTTTGTAAAATTATACAACTCCAATGTTTCATTACAATAGTGCATTTGCCTTTCCCTTTTAAGTTTCAGTCTGTCGACCTCTTGTTATTTCACAAGTGATTCTGAAGGGTACTTCATGCTATGTTACGAGGAAGAATTTTAAGTAGAAGCTAGTGGAGTGGCTGTGCTATAGCAATTTTTTTAGAGGTCAAAGGCATGGTTTCTGGACTTTCCGTTGTTTATCTGTTTGTCGCTTTGCATGGTTTGACACCTCTATCATGTGCTTATAATTTCATTACGCTCATTTCATTATTGCAAAATATGTGTTAAGCTCTCTAAGTATCGGCTCTGAAGGGACAAAGTTAAGTTTGAAATATTCTGTGAACATGTTGCTTACTTACACTCTATATTATGACGCCCGGCCCGGCTATTTGATTAGCTCAATTAGAACTGTTTACAAGTACCGAAAATGTAGCTTCTTGACAGGTCTAATTACCTCATTGACTGATTTGTTACAGGCTTATCACCAAGGGCACATAGGCACATCAAAAACAAAGTCTACAGGCTCCCTGTCCCTGCCCCGATCGCTTTGCTCTCCGAATTCTTCTGTTTTGTGCTCGCTGAAATTTTTTTCCATCCTCACTGGGAGCCTGTTTGCAGGCTACTTTTGTTAGAGGTGCAGTGCCCTCACAGTTAGTGAGCTTCACTCTGGATTAAGTGGTCCAGGTTCAAGCCCTGGCCAGGGACATTGTGTTGTGTTCTTGGACAAGACACTTTACTCTCACAATGCCTCTCTCCACCCAGATGTATAAATTGGTACTTCTGAATTTAATGCTGGGGGTAACCCTGCGATGGACTGGCAACCCATCCAGGGGGGAGTAGAAATACTTCTAGCTGCCTCATGCTATTAATAGAAACCAGGGATAAGCTCTGGCCTGATGGGCCACTTGAGTTGTATGCAGACATTACCTTTACCTTTACCTTACATGCGATTTCCTTTTATTTATTAGTGAAAGAACAAGCCAGTTGAAATCATGGACTACAAGAGAACTACAGGATATTGAAGGATTCTCCATGCAGAATGTAAGTCAACTAATACTGCCAGTTATAATAGAAGCAAACAGAGGAAAGTTGCATATTTTACTGTTGTACAGTGTATCTGATATAATAAAAAACTACATAAGAATGTTTTTCCCCTTAAAAATATCTCTAGAACCTAAAGGAAATAGCTGGAAAAGTATTCGTTGATGTGGAGCCAGAAATTTGCCCTCCAGAGGTGAGAACAGTGGAAATATTTTAGCATTGAAGATGTTTGAGACAGACACTGTGTTACAGTCTGTAAACCTGCACCTTCATGGGATATTTGAGGGGAGGCAGCGTGGCCAAGTGGTTTAGGGCGCTGGATTTGAAATCCGGTGGTCCCTGGTTCAAATCCTCCGCCCTACCGCTATCTGGATTTGTTCTTGGTAGCTTCGAGTTCAACTCCTTGACCGCATCGTGTAAATAACCAACTGGTCAGCCTCCCACCAGTTGGGATTCTTAATAGTTTATGTTATATTTGAAATATTTGTTTATTTATTTATTGCACGTTTAGGGATGGTTTAAGATTTCTTATAAAAAGCATCTCCTTAATTAGGCAATCAAATTTGTTAGTACATTTGGCAAACAGATTCGATTGTGCAAACAGATGCGATTCACGCAAAGGTATTCACTTGAAGAATTTGTGATCCTTTGTTATTATGTTAATTTGTAGAGACTATAGAAATTAAATCATTGANTGATTAGATACGGAAACATGTTTTACAGGTTTAACAGACATCCGCGTGAAGATCAAATTGAAAGTTAAATGAATACATAATGACGCTAAAATTTTAAAAAAGTTATTATTATTGTTACCATTATTTTTATTATTATAGTGGAATGTGTGAAGATTTGTAAATAGGTTTTCTGAGGAGATTTCAATAAAGTTCTTGTTATTATAATTATTATTATTATTATTATTATTATTATTATTATTATTTAGAGTGGTGATTATTATTATCAATAATATACAGTGACTTTCATGAATTTGTTACATACAAGTACCAGTACATGTCCATGTAGGTATTCCAAGGTATAGGCTAGGCCTCTGATCATGAGCATTTAATGACAGACAAGCACAGCACATGACTTGTGTATCCTACTTTTGGAGTAACAAAATGAGTCTTGACTCTTCTAATTGCTTCATATGCTATGAAAGTCAAAGCTAACCAAATTATTTTGAGAAAAGGCTGCTTTCTTACTTGATCTCTTTGCTGAAAATCTGTTACAAGGACTCTGTGACTGCACTTCATGAAATCAGCTTAGAATATAATGCTGAGACTTTTTTTTAAACAGGATTGTCTTCTGGATTTCTCTAGCATTGACATCATTTTGATATCCAACTATCATTTTATGTTAGCTCTGCCATTTATAACTGAGGTGAGTTTTGACTTGTTTGACTGTTTGAGTTATTTGTCAGTCCATATCTGGAAATGTAATTGAGTATTAACCTTCTCCAGATGGCACACCTGTGATGAACAATCTCTGCAACCGTCTACAGCTGTAGGTGTGGAGAGTTATCTTTTAGCAGCACTTTCCATTCCTTTATTTTTTTGCTTGTATTTTCCATGTAAAAGTTGTTTTTGTTTTTTTTCTTTTTCATTTGAAAACTGCCCTGGGAGAGTGCAAAAGCTCAAAATATAAAACTGTGCATAATTTTAACTGCTTGTTCCTCTCTTTTGTTTGAATATTTACGATATTGAACATAGTACATGCACATGTACACTACGTGGCATGATGTTACAACCTTTCTTTGCCCTCTTTCCATAGCATTCAGGTTTCAAAGGAAAGATTTATGCCACTGAACCAACAATACAGTTTGGAAGGTAAACATGTATATGGTGTAACTATCAAATGTATTTGATCAAACTGGGCTCTTTGTAATTTTACACAGACCTTTCTCTAAATTTTTCTAGATCTGCCATGTTTCTGAGCCAGACACTTTCCCTCCTGCCCTTCCTTTTGTCTTAGTTCATATTCAAGATTACATAATTTACAGCTGTATTACTTCTATGCACAGGGAACTAATGTTAGAGATGGTGGAGTATGCAGAGCGAGTTCCAAAGGTCAACAAAGGAAACATGTGGAAGGACAGTGAAGTTTTAAGGTGACTTGTGCGGCCATTTATATTGCTAGGTTATTTGAGGGCTTGGAGACCTTTTCTCCTTAAGTCATTTCTCCTTTATCACAGTGACTTTTATTGCTGTAGACAAATTTCAATAAGAGTAAGTCTAAACTGGGATGAAGGAAGACACATATTTAGAGGCAGATATTGTGGGGATGGCATTAGTTGAAGTTCAGCTGTTACATAGTTATTCTCCTTAGAAATGATGTCATCACTGGTTCCTGTCACCCCCATTCCCCTACCCCATTTTAGCCCATTCTTTATATAGTTTTTGGTAGTCAATTTAGTTCATATTTGTTTCTGCAGATGTCTTCCTGCACCTCTTTGTGACTTAAAGGGCACTAAGTCATGGAAAGTTCTTTACAGGTGATTGTTGAAATTCAGTAGTGGATAATTACCAGTAGTAATAGTTAAGTCAGTAGAATATTAAGTCAATAAAATATCAGCTCCATAGTGACTGGGACTGGGGACAAGTTATAATCACTGTTTTGCATTCTCTAACATCTTTTACTGTGAGATTTTCACTTTCTTTGCTGTTTTGTTTAGCTTGGTAATAGATAAGTTAGCCAGGACTTTTTCATTTTTACTGACTGCACAATGATTACACAATAATCACATACACCAAGAATATTATTGCACATCAAGTATGACGTTTAGTTGTTGGCTTTCTTTACAACACAAAACCTGTCCATGTGAAAATGTGTTGATTTTGTAAGCTAGGAGACATAAAGGATTTTATGTTAATCTCTGGTGTTAACCACTTCCATCATTAGATGTGAACTCTTTTTAACCCAGTGGGTTTTCATTCACAAACCTCCACATTTTTCAAATTGATTTTTTTGTGTGTGTGGAAATGAAGAAACTTGAAACTTGACACTACGATAAAAATATGATTTACTTCCTTATTCTAAAATTGTGTTTTTTATGGATGTTTTCTGTTTTTCAGCAAGCATGATGTAAAAGCTTCAATATCAAAGATTCAAAATGTTGGGTATTCAGAAAGAATTGTTAGTATTTATAAAACTATTATTTTTTAAAAGTAATCATTGACGACTAAGAGTTCTGTCAGGCAACTTGTGATGGATTAGCACGATTCCTTTGGAGGGGAGAAATGGTCCTCTTATTTACATCATACTAAAGATGAGAATGAGAATTATTCCAGGGATGTAAATGAAGAATGCTAAGCTGGCTCATTAACAAGCCCAGCTGGCGTTTTTGCCACCCCTTAGCCACATCCCTGTGATTCAGAACAAAAGGACAAGGTCCTGAAACTCTTCCAGTCCCTTAAGCTTGAAACCCTCTCACTAATAGAAACATGTGCATGCATTCCTAACATTTCACCCAACCCTTATTTGCATTTGGTACAGCCCTTGACTTTGTTTTGACTGTTTCCGTGAGATGGGATATCTGTTTTGTCTTTGCCCCTTGGGTTGTTGGCTCATAAGAAACTTGACAGGTTTGCGTGAAATTATAGCTAGCTGGTCTGACCAGTAAAATCATAAATATTAAATTATGGTTAGTACCTCTACATGTACCTTACACACCTATGATAAGCAAATTGATTATTACAGTAAGGAACCTCGAACCAAGAACACTTGACATTTATTTGTAAATTTTTTTTTCTGATGACCATAGAATAAAGCCTCTTCACATAATGTATAATGTTAGCATTTTTAAAGTGTGAAAACACTAAATATGTGTACTCTTGTTAGAAGGAAGAGCCCGCATTCTAAAAAATGTTCAAAAAAATATCAAGTGTTCACAGTGCGAGCATCATCACTGTAATGTACCTTTTTTTTTCATAGGATCTGTTTGGTATTCTCAAGCTGACTGCCCTCAGTTCAGGATATTGTTTGGGAAGCTGTAACTGGGTCATAGAGTCTGATTATGAAAAGGTAAGCATTAATTTCAGTGTTAGTCCGTTTGGACAGAAGCAAAGTTGCATTGGAAACCAGAGGAACCTAGGTACCAGTTCCAGAATACACAAGTGTCCAAGCAGTTAATACATAAAGAAATGCACTTACAATGTTCTTTTCTTCCTGCCTGTTCCCCTATGAGTGTCCTCCTACTTCAAAACATAATGGAAACCCCTGCAGAAGTAGAGGTTATGGCAAGTGCCCACGGTACAGAACTTCAAAGACAGACATTCAAATCTCAGCCGCAAAATTGAGAACTGCCCAGAAAATGGCTAGCAAAATGCATATTAATATGAATGTCTGAAAGTATGTGCATCTGTCTCAGTGTATATGAACCAACTTATTAGTTTTCATTTCATAATAGTCAATTGTTGTTTCCAGTGGAATAGTTAGCCATCTTTGTCCTCCCCACCCCACCCCCTCCCTTTACTAGATTGCACCAACAACTTGGCAGTGATATTTTGACAGGTCAGCTATGTTTCCTGTTCATCAACGTTCACCACTCACCCTCTCCCAATGGACCAGTCCATGCTAAAGAACAGTGATGCCTTAATTATGACAGGAATCACTGAAGCTCCAACTGCCAACCCAGATGCTATGCTGGGTGAATTTTGCACACACTTAGGTGAGTGAGTGTAGTTAGCGTTAGTAAAAATAAGAAGTATATATTAGTTCAATTTTACCCTTGGTGCAATTTTGTAATATTGAACATATTTGAATGTTCAGTAGGTGCTCCAGATTTCTTTGCCCCCCCCCCCCCCCCCCNCAACTAATAATCTCCTAATTTGTTCTGATGCTATAATGAAGGACATAAAGGCTTTTGTGGGTGTGAGGGTGCAATGAGCTAGGAGGGCGAAGAGCGCAAGGAAACATGCCTGTACATCTGAATTTGTAAGACTGGGAAGGAGACAATTTATGAACTCCAAATTGATAATCAACGCATACCGTAAAGTATTGCATTTAAAAAATGAAAAAGTGAAATAACGTAAAATGCTGCTTTGTTGACTTGGCTGACTTTTTCCATTTTTTTCTCCACAGCTACTACTTTGCGTAATGGAGGAAATGTTCTAGTGCCATGTTTTCCCTCTGTAAGTTATAAGTAATAACAATCAGCATGATAATAAAAGTCAGGTTTTGAATCTGACCTCGACATACATGAAACGTTGTATTCATGATAGTGCAGTGGAACCCCATAAGTAAGGTCACCAACAGGCCATGAAAATTTGGCCATATAAACGGGGCGGCCCTGTTAATGGGGTAGGGCCAGATTTCATGGCTGGTCTGAACTGAGTGACACCTTAACAGATATATCACAATTGCACTTCTAAACAACTGTTCTTTAATAAGCATGCGGAATGCAGATATAAGTTTTTTACAAAATAGAAACTTGAATCAGTGTGTTAAATATTAACAATGGAAAGATGAACATAGCTGGCTTGAGTAAAATTATAAAGGATAATACAGGTTGGGATTTAAGAATGTGACCGTTGGCCGCATTAACAAGCTTTTCCTAAAAGAAAATGTATGTGAGCGTTTCTCGAGAAAAAAAAAAGTGGTCGTAATTACGAGGTGACCGCATTAACGAGGTGACCGTAAGGCGGGGCTCTGGATATTGTACTACAAATGTTTGTTTGTTTACGCAGGGCGTACTGTACGATCTGTTTGAGTGTCTGTACTCGTACATGGACGGTGCCAATCTTACATCCATTCCTATATATTTCATCTCGCCTGTGGCTGACAGTTCTCTAGCCTACTCCAATATTTTTGCTGAATGGTAAGGGCGATGAATAATACACCTACAGTCACTGTGAAATCTCCCAGGTCCCAGGGACCCCCCCCCCCCNAAAAGAAAAAGAAAAAGAAAAAAAATGTTAGAGATAGCGGGTGTTCAAGATAATAATAAACGACTGCAAATTATATTCAAGGGAAAATAATTTGAGTTTGACCTTCGAGGTAGCGTGGAATCCGAAATAACTGAGTTCCATATAGCGAGATGCTACAGTTACTGTGTAACTGTAGTGTTCGTTATTTCAGGGCGTGTACGGTAGTTTTGCTGCATACCAATGGTCCATTTGGAGGGTACAATAACCTTATTTCGTGAAATAGGCACGGACATTGTCTGGACATATTTCTGTCTCAAAAGCTAACAGTTTCCTGACAGTGAAGCGAAAAAGAACCCTTGAGCGTCGAGATAATTGTGAGAGATATCAGTCATTTAAGGATATTTCCGAGATTAAGCTGGAGTAGTGTGTTACGTGAAGCGTTTAGACCAATCGCATGCGAGGAAAAAAAAAGATGAATTAGGAAAGTATTTTATTATCTCATTTTGAGAACATTGTTCAAATTGCATTTTTTTTTTCACTGTAACAGGCTTTGTCAGAGCAAACAGAGCAAAGTTTATTTACCAGAAGCACCGTTTCCACATGCCGAGGTATCTCGCTTAATGCTTCTACAGAACCCTGTGCACTGTTAAAATCCTTGAAGTTTTTAATCTCTTATACAAGCACAAGCAAACAAATGTTCTCTTATTTTCTCTTCTCTTTTGAAACAGCTTGTCAAATCCGGACGTCTCAAACACTTTCCCAGCATCCATGGTGAGCTCAAATATATTTGATTTTTTGTTTTTGAACGCTTGTTTATTGATATTTATTTGCCAGTTTACAGCGCGTGGCAACGATCTTTGGCTTGTGGTTGGGGGCTAAAAACGGGGTAGCCGCTTCATGCTATAGAAGCCATGAGTTCATGGCATCAGTCATCTGGCTCGCACCTTCCCTTGGAGTAAAACGACCCTAAACAACATAGCACTTTTAAATCTCTGTTAGGGTTGCATGTTGTAAACATTTATGTTTGACAACTAAACAAGGTTATTTCATGGTATTTACAGATGGACTAAGCGGCTGTTTTAAGACCCCGTGTGTCGTGTTTGCTGGACATCCTTCTTTACGATATGGAGACGTGGTACATTTCATGGAACTATGGGGCAAGTCAAGTGGTAACACGGTCATATTTACTGGTACGTGTCTGCATCAAATTATATTGTCCTCACTTCTTCCCCTCATTCTGTGAGTTTGTAATATACCCATAGATGGCGAAGAATGAAAGCGAGTATATGAACAACGATATAAAGGTATATTACGAACTCACAACGTGACCATCTCCCGGTTAGCTTGATAGTTCAGTTGGTAGAGCACTGCACCGGTGTCGCAGAGGTTATAGGTTTGAATCCCGTTCAAGCCTGAATTTATTTTTTCAGGCTCAATTTTTACACCTGCTCAAGTTGTGTACGTAACCGCAATTATCAATCATATCTTAACGTCTTTCTCCGCAGTTCAAAAAAATGATCTTTCGTATATCCACTTGCATTAAGGTGGCTCCCTATAGTTTTACGATCGCACGCGCGCTGAGAGCGAAAGCTCAAGTAATCTGCGCGCGCTCGAAGGAAAACGTCAGTGTTTTTCGATATTTTATTATGTCAACATGAGCACAACAAGCAAAACTGACAGTAAATTTTCTCGCGTTTCCTTCGGTGAAATTTCGTAAAACTTGGCAGATTGGTAGTAAATATTTTACTTTAGTCGGAGCTCGTTTTTCAGGAAAATCTATAAGGCCAGTTTTTTCGCAGCGGTAATAGACGTAAATTTGCAAAAATCGAAAAACCTGCCTTTACAAACCCTACTTTTTTCGTCTTTAAAATTCGTGTCCCGCAGGAAGCGATATGCTGTGAAAATTTTGGAAGATTTCACCGAAGGAAATTCAAGAAATCGCAAGTAAAGCCATAAAAAAGTAAAAAAACATATTTGTTTGAGCATTTCTAATTCAAGACTAAAACCAATAATTTTAACAGAGATGACAGTAAAACACTATTTAATCATTGCTTATTACATGTAATTAGTTTGAGAGGACTGGGTGTAAATACGAATGCAAAAACGGCATTCAAAACATAACACTTGCGCGCGCAACGCCATAAATGATTACCCTATGGAGCCACCTTAATATGTTGCATTATAGCTTCGTAATCCCGGTTTGTAATGGAAGCCCTATATAAAGCCCAGGGGGATACCCATGTAAAAAGGACGGGGGGTGCTCGTTGGAAATTTTGAACCCCTAGGAGGTACCAAGACCCTGTTTTGTGGGCGTGGCTTTATCTCCTGTCATATTTTTTTGGCTCAATGCCCTCAAGTTACTGTAAAATCTCCCGCTGTGGACCTTTTGAGGCTGAATTAAGAGGCACCAAAAGCGCTTTTTTTAGCCTCCAAAAGGTACGATGAGCAAACCCCCGTCCTTTTTACATGGGAGTCCGCCCCCCCGGATATAAAGACCACTAATTCAAATTTCAGAGCCAGAGTTTCCATACCTTGAGGCACTTGCACCGTACCAGCCACTAGCAATGAAGGTAAGTTTTTGATTGAATGTTCAACCTTACGCTGCTCTATAGTCATGACAAATATTTCAAACCTGTTTTCTTCCCTGTAGGCTTGCTATTGTCCCATTGATCCGAGACTGAATTTTACACAAGCAAACAAACTTATACGAGAACTCCAGGTGAGTTAGAAATATCAGAAATACGGTGCTTTTCGAATTTCTAAAGAAATAATTCCTCTAAACCGAGAACAGAGTTTCGTGACATTAACGTTTAAACTATTACCGAGGAGTATCAAACAACATTCTCAAGGAAAGCTTCTCGAAATAATGAAAATGTACTCGTCTACTTACACATATCGTTTGTCTTGAGAAGCCTGGTATTTCGTACCATACATCTTACTGTCTCAGCGCTATACGAGGCGAGTTTTGTCGATCAATTCTAGAGAAATTACATACCATTTTCTCTCGTATTGTACGCGTCTCAATAATGATATTCGCGCGCAAGGCTGGGATTTGAGGTAGTGTAAGTTGAGCGAGCTATTCCCTTCTTAGCGTTTTCTCTCTTTTATTCGAGGGGTAAACTGCTAGTACAGTTACTTTTCATCGCTCCTGGCCGGGAGCGATGTGCGGAGGTTTTATTCACAGGATACTATGGGTGTGAGTAACAACGCTTTTTTTGTGTTGTTTCAGCCTGGTCATCTTGCTATACCAGAAGCGTACACCAGATCACCAGATCTACTGCCGCACAGAACAGACCTAACTATACAAGACGTGGTAAGGCCTTTCCCTACTACTGTCAATTTATTTGCCATTGCATTGTGTCTTTGGAAAGAATGCTCTTGCGGTAGAGTGGTTTAACAATCGCTTGATAGTTGCTCGCAAGGTAATGGACCATTTTAACTCCATAGCTTTGTTAAGCCATGTTGGTTCTAATGCTAGTCTGGTACCAATATAGGAGTTTTAAAAAGTCATTGTTGTCACTTGCCTTCCTTCAATGTTTTTTTCAGTCCATAACCGTTGTAGATTGTCCTAAGATTTATAAAATATTGGCGGCAAGTTAGATTCTTTTGGTAGACTGAGAATTTGGTGGTAGTAGTAGTAATCCTAAGGAAATAAGAGAACGTTTTCCCTTTCCAGATATTAGTGACATCGTAATATTTTTCTCTTTACAGGAGTGCAAGATGTCAACGTTCAGTCACTTAGATGTTCTTTCGCTGCCAGTCAATAGGCAGTTTGAGAAGGTTGTGTTATCAAATGAGGTCAGTATGTACTTTGAAGATATTAAACGGCAAACAGAGGGAACGTGTCATGTGTAAACCATTTACAATCTGAATTCGAATTTAAATTATCTCCATTCTGAATTAAAGCAACTTTGGACAACAGCAAGGCGAGTGTTACTTTATCAAATGTAGAATTTACACGTATGTGTGAAGTAAGAGAACTTTGGCGGTAGCGTAGCGCGTGCCAAACGCTAAATTCCAGTCGCGCGCGCCCTCACTCCTTTACTCACTGTATGTTGTTCTCTCTGTTCAGTTGGCCAGCAGTCTCCACCCACAAGAAGTAAGGCCCGGGATAGCAGTTACCACAGTAACAGGAACTTTGGTAACCAAAGACAACAGATATACACTTGAACCGTTAGATCTAACGGGAGAGCCCGGGACCAGGTAGGCTAATCACAGTGAGTTGTGATAAATGTTACCTTAACAGAATTTCTTAGGGTTGATCGCGAGTTGCCCCTTCACTGACTGTGAAAAATCTTCCTCATACAGGGATTCAAAAATGCAGTCCAAAACAAGCCAGAGATCGTGCCATTTATGGGGCAGTGTTCTCATAGAGGATCTTGTGCAGGCCTTGGCAAAGGTATGCGTATGTTGTCCATCGCTAATATCTCTTGGTTGCTGACAGACTTTTTTTCATGAAGCCTTACGTGAATTCCGTGACAACGTAACACCAAGTAACATGATGATAAGTAACCCTGTGCCCTTTTTTTTTTCTTCCCAGAGAGGTATCCAGGATGTGCACGTTGAATCTGATCAGGGTGGACACACCCTTCATTTGGTAAGTGGAGCCTTCAAGCTTTTCAGTAGGAAGGGAAGGATAGGTCGACTATAAAGAGAGTTCAGTTCTTGTGACCGTCCTCTTCAGCCTCTCCCCTTTTACCCGTTTTGAGACCGGTAGCGAGACCAATGGAACAGATGGGTCTTGGTGCTGGAGAAAATTTCGCTGTTGTTGTTAGGCGCCAAATCGCGAAGATCAAACCCTCCCCCTCCACACTTTATTCTGCACCTAGAATAAGAGAATATGATCTCGGTGTAAGGTCACAACAACTTTAGCATGTGAAAAGTAGAAGAGAAATGAAGACACTAGCGTAAACCCATAGGCTACATAGCATCTACTGTTCATCCTGTTTAGCGCATTTCTTGCCTCTGTTTGCAGGCTCAAGATGACGCCATGATTCAGGTGGATCGTAGTGGAACACACATCATCACACACGAAAACGAGGCTCTTAGAATAAACATCCGGGACTCGCTGCTTGAATGCGTATCGCAGTTTTGAGCACGCGACTTTGTCGGGAGAGTAAGTGAGTTCCTTATGGAATGGCCTGCATATGACGCTAAACAAGCTGGCTTCTGGTGACCAGTAATGGTGTGTTACAGGCAAGAACTTACGGCGTTGTTCGCATTTGTTCCCGATACCGGAGTCTCTTCGAGTTTTTCCACGAGAAGAACCAGCTGGCAGCATTAACCCTTTCATCAAAACAGATGGGACGATTTTTACCAATTGTACCTTTTTTACATGTCTCTTTACATCACGAAATCGATGCTAAGGAGAGAGTGTATAGATATCAAGATTACACTTTTTTTGTAAAATAGTTTGTAAATTAAAATATCAGCAGCTCAAGTAAGCTATGGCAAGAGACTTTACAGACCTTTACAGATCTTATTCGAGGGCTTTATATACGATAAACATTTGCGTGCAATACCCTCCCTCCTTGCGCGCCCTCGTCTTAGTTCTCCCACGGTATTTGTCGTTTCACTTTTTGTCCAGGGCCTTCTTCAAATTATCTGCAGTCTACACGTTTCTTCCCTAACTTGACCGTTAAGGTATTAATTGCACTCTATCTTAGGTAAAAGATGTTGGATCAAGTCACATATCAGCCTGAACATTGTTAATAGATGAGAGTGGTTATGAAGCCCAGCCGGCAAACATCAAAGGAGCAAGCAAACAGGCTAAGATTTATGTTGGAACGTTCACGACAGTGCACAATCTTTGGTTTTTGCTCATACACTATGTATAAGTTACGTAGGTTGCTATTGGTTTGTTCCTCCGTCAGAAGTAAACAAGTATTGTGCTTTGTGCACGGTCGAGGGCAAAGAAGCGAAGAAAAACACACAACAAAGGACTTTGTCAAGTTTCATGACCATTTCCCTTTATTAACTAGGCTACCCTCTAATGGGAACAACCGTTCATGACCCTTATCTTGCCCAGTTCTTGTACGGCTTTGGGTAGATAGATCAGGACTAAATATCTGATAATTATGTGGAAGTTTTACAAAACATTATCCCAGGCCTTCACGGTCAATTGATTTTGGTGGTATCTGATGGCGCTCCGTTTTCAGAACTGCCTTCAGACAGAAACCTTGCAGCCTTTCTTAACGTGCGTTTCTCTGGAATTATCCTGACTAGGAGTCACATGCTGCGTCAAAGACCGTCGTCAAAGGAACCGTTCAATGGATTCATCTCTTCATCGGTTAATTTGACGCACCATTGTCCGAGTGATCTTTGTTTTCTTTTTGTGATCTCTTGTCTTTCGGTTTCTTCTTTTCTTGTAACTGAATTCTAGCTTGCGTGACACGCGTTCAAAGGGGAAGGAGAGGGGAATAGGCTTTTGTCGATTGTGCTAACAAAATATTTGGCATAATTTAGCAAACCGAGCATAATTTTTAGCTTTTATCTCAATTTAGCACTGCTAGTATAATCTGGCTTTTCTGACGCAATTTCGTTTTGAATATACTTCTTTTTACTTTTTCTGTTTCTAAAACCCCTGTTACTGTTGTCTCCGGGCCGCCTGGGGTCGGTGTGATGTTTATTGGTCTTAGGTTCCGCGCATACGACTCGGTAGTGAGTTGACTGAGCTCTAAGATCTCAGATGGCGTCCTCTTCGGGGATCTGAGCACTTCCCAAGTTCCAAGTTCAGGTAGCTCAGCAGCCTATAATGTCGTACAGAAAGCTTCAATCTCTTGGGAGCGTTCGTTGAAACCATCTTCAAGAGCGAATAACTCAGTTCATATTCATACCTCCCACCGTAGTCCAAGAGGGAGGCGCGGTGGCCTCATGGTCAGTGCGCTCGTCTCAGGATCGAGCGGTCCGGGTTCGAGACCTGGCCGGGGACATTGTGTTGTGTACTTCACTCTCACAGTGCCTCTCTCTACCCGGGTGTATATGGGTATTGCGAAATTAATGCTGCGGGTAACCCTGCGATGGACTAGCATCCCATCCAGGGGGGAGTAGAAATACTCCTAGTCGCTTCATGCTACGGAAACCGAGATAAGCTCCGGCCTGATGGGCCACTTGGCTCGCATACAGACCGTAGTCCAAAGGAGGATGGGATTGATGCAGCCCCTCCCTGGGTTTTCGTTCTGTTAAGGCAAAAAAAAAAAAATAATAATAAATTTACATGAATTAGATAACCCTGAGCTTGCTCTACAAGGTGGTACCAGTTTTGTTAATCATGACGTCAATGACGTCATTTGACCCACCATCCTTAATCCGCTCTCTTGGATTTCACTATTTTCTTAAAAATCAAGAAATAACGGAAATTAGTACAAAATCAAGCCAGGATGTTTGGAAATGCACAAAACGGCGGTTCCAAACAGCGTTATTTCTTGTTTTGTCTTTATTCGCACTATTCTGTCTTCATTTTGCTTAAAAACCAAGTAGCATAATTTTGATGCGAGGAGCATAATTCGGGCATAATTTCCAAAAATTTTGAGCAGTGCTACGAGCATAATATGGCAGTTTTACGAGCACAATCGACAAAAGCCTTGAGTGGAAGATCGGAGCGGTACGGCTTCTAGTTGTCCCCTCTCCTCCCCCCTTGAACGCCTCGTGACGCCTGTCATGCTGGCTAACTGAATGCAACTCTAATACAGCACATAGTCGGTTTATATACATGAGTAGTCTTTCACGGACTCTCTATTTTGTCTTGCGTTCGTCAAGATCGCAAGCAACGGGTTTGCCCTGGGGGTAAGACACAAGACGCTTCTTAGCGCTGCAACAACCCCACCCACCCTTACCTTATGGCTGGAATTGAGTAGGGAGCTATCATGTGACGATAGAATTAATCAACAAGCTACAATTAGATTTTTGATGGGAGGGAAATATATTAGCGCACTCTTGATCAGTCAAAAATGTCGCTGATTATTCACGATACGATATCGTTGACTACAGCGAGTGGAGTCAGCAAGATCCAGTTGTGTATTGGAGATATTACCAAGCTGCCGAAGGAAGAACAAGCCGATGTTTTGGTCGTTTCTGCGTTTCCAGGTGAGACCGTCAAAACAATAACTCGACAATCGGCAAATATTACCTCAACTCACTGCAATATACATACAAACATGGAGGTTTCAACAGGCTTATGGAGTAATCTTGTCAAATTCGAGAACTTGTTCTTTAATCTTTAATCTTTAATAAGTATACTCCTGAAACAGTGGAACTATACTAGGAGTTGAAAATAACATGATAAAAGCACGTAATAAATAATTACAATATGTATATATACAGTAAAAATTATAAGTTAGTAAAAGATAAAATAAAATAGATTAAATATAATCTCGTCGAGATAAGTTAGGACGTCTGAATATACATTATACAAAGGATTTAATGGCTGTAAGAGCAATAGTCTTAAATCTTTTTAGACTTGTGCATCTATAATTGTAGATGAAACAGTAGCCTCATATGTCATTAAGTTTATTAGGCTTATATTGATCTACTTCGAAAGGAAATTTGGAAATCTGAAAAGTCCATAAGCTGATAAGAGCTTATCGTGTTTTAAAACGTGAAAGTAAGATAGCTTTATGTTATCCTCATGGTTTATTAGTGATATGACTGATATACTTCAATGTTCCCTCCTCGTTCACATAATTCCAGTCCATGCATCAATGTTCAAACTTCGATTGAAGTCCATTATAACAGCGAAAACTTGATTGACGTGACTTTTTTGTGCTCACTGCATGCTTTCAAGAATAGAGAGAGTAACATCTTTGGAGCAACTCTGTTGGAACATGAGGCTACATGTGGTATTAGGAGCTGTTCGAGTGAGATTTATACAGTTAGTAAGACACTGTCAACCTCAGAATGTAATGGATTTAACACAAGAAAAATGTAGTTATTTTACGATTCCCTGGTTCAAGTGGAAGATTTTGTTTGAATTACTGCATCTTGTACTACTGAAAGAAATCGTTAGAGAACCTGACAAAATTTTCTTGTCCCTTAGGGGGAAGGGTGAGTAACTCACCAAAAATATAGTTGGGGGTGTGTAACATTATTCTCCTACCAGAGTCACTTCAGTCTTTCCTAGGAAAGTCTTACCTAAGAAAGATTACCAGGACTCTGCTCCGAGCAAGGTAGTGTGTCATATTTCTTGCAACCCTTACTCCATAATTTCGAGGTCTGTCCATACCCTACTTCGGACCTAAAATTACTTTACTACCTTGTTTGAGAATATTAAATGCATCTTGATCCTAGACATCTATTGAAACTGACCTTTTTAAGGCTATTTCACTGTTACCGTTGGTTTTGATTGCATGTTCCAAAAAGTGGTTATGTGATGACAAGTTTGCTTTTCATTCCAAATGGACCACTTCATCCAATATCAACAATTTTTGAATTTTTCATATAAACAAACTAATCATCTCCATAGATCAATGTATCCTGTCAAATTTAAAAGAAAAAATGCAACATTTCAAGAGAATCTGTTACAAACTCTTTAAAATATGGGACGCAAAACGTGCATGCTTTAAGAAAGAAATGTGTGCCACAGAGCAACTGCTTGCCCCACACATAAATTTCTTTGTTAAAATTGGATAGCTTGGGGTTCCATATTTCCATGAACTTGCAACATAATTTCTTAAAAAACTTTACATATTTACTTAATTCAGCATGATAAATTGAGCTGTGAGGCTTATTTTTTGTTTGAATGAAAAAATTATCAGAAAAAGCGTGACTTCATTGCTGTGGTCCATTCCTTGCACTAAAAAAATTGTACTGGAAATAACTGGGTTAGTAACATAGTAAACTTGTCTGGGGCAGATCTAGGGGGGGGGGGGGTCAATATAAAAAAATGAGACATTGTAACACGCTGACTTGGCCTCAGAATGCTTGAAATCCAATTTCCAGGACCTCAATTTTAAAAATTGTCCAGGGTAGGATGCCCCCAGACACCCCTACAGGGGACTGCCTTTGGCGGTCCGTATCTCCAACCCCCTTCTCTAAAATGCTACATCTGCCCCATTTTATGCTGTTACAAAGCAACTTTTCAGAAAAGGATTGCCTGGAAAGAGTCCACCTTAAGTGAATCCCTTGAGGTTTCTGCCATCACATGATCATCATTGAAATTCATCATATCATTGTTGTACTTTCAGCATGGAAGCAAAGGTCACTTGGATCATAGTCCATCCAAGCAGCCGATGAATCCTTGTCCAGAGTGGGTTCATCTGTTCCTTTAATGCAGCATTGAATTAGTAAACATTTTAGTCCAGTCATCTAGCCAGTCTATTCAGGTGCCTCCTGCAGAGTCACCTTTTTCTTATGCAAATTAAAGGCCCCCATGACTGACATGGACAGGTAGCTCTTGGGATAAGAGTAAGTGTAAAGGATTATAAATGGGTGCCAGTAAAATGTTACCTAGGGTAACTGTACTGCATGCAATGCATCCCATTGGACTGCAACAAAAATTAATCTCCACCTTAATGTTTATTCCAGGTGACTATTCACCGACCCCCTCTTCACTTATTGGTGCCCTAGCCATTAATCTTGGCATCAGTGTCCATAACCTTTCTGGAGACAAAGAAGAAGATTTACGCAGACAGTACTTCTGCTGGTGGTCTAGGCCACTTCCTGAAGAGCACAGCTTTAGGAGAATCCTTTGTTTTGAGGGTGGATTTGGTAGCCGCGGGAGCACACCACCAAAAGTTGTTGGGGCTGTGTTTCGATGTCTGGTACCTATTCTTAGTGGTAAAGACTCTAAAGGAGGGTCCGTTATAATGCCTCTCCTTGCCTCTGGAGATCAGGTAATATTTCACATAATTTGAATCAATCAACAAACATACCTCTTTGCAATGTTTAATTTTCTCCCCACTTGACAAAGAAGTAGGACATTGGATGCCAATGTTATTAAGCTCAACAGCTTTCATGAAGTCTCTCGAATTGGATGTTGCTTGCTTTTGAATTTCTCTGTGCAAGTAATAACCTTTGACTGCCTCTCGGACATTGCATGTACTTCTGTCTGCATAAAGAGCTAGCATTTTTCTGTTTTTTAACACCAACATTCCTCTGATAGTTCATGATTCTGAAGCTAGTTACCAGATATTTTTAAGCTCAGATTGTACAAGTCATACATCCTCAAATTACATTTTTCTTTCCTGGGTTAAATGTGATGCACATTGGCATGTGGATGGTGGGACAGTAGTGGGAAATTTGTGCCATAAGACAAAATTCAATAATTTCTTACTAACTTTCTGTGAACAGAGGAATCCCATCAGGTACAGGCAGCCTAGGTTGCAATCTCTGCTACGTTTGTGCAAACTACCTGACACCAGAATTTTTGTTGTTTTCTTTACACATGGTTTTGCACATGTTTGCCCTGCTCCCCCTGAAAATTTGATAGAAAAAACCTTTCATGTAAACAAGTGTATTCACCCCGAACAGCATAATACAGGAAGTAACCTCAAGTCTCTACTTCAATACATAGGGCTACTCAAAGAGGCTCATGCTTAGACTGATAATCGACTCTGCAATACACTGGATCAAGGCTGGCCTTGAATTGAAGACCCTGAAGATTGTCCTGTTTTCACGTCATCCTGAAAGGCACGACAAGTCACATGAGCCACTCTTTGAATGTTTCCAAAAGATGAAAGACCAGTATGGAGATAAAGAGTTAACATATGTAAGTTAAAATGGTATTAAAGTAGTCAGGCTAACAGATGTAGCTAGATGTCTAAATTTCTCAATTTGTCCTGTAAAAGGAAAATGATTTACCAGTAGCAACTCACAGCTGTAGTTGTGTTATGTCCCCAATTGCTTGTTGCTTGGTTTAAGATTGTCTAAGGCTTCAGAGGAACAGGAAAATTTGTAATAACTTAGAGTTAAAAAAAGAAGCATTTTACCAGTTGGGGAGAGAAACAGTTTTAAATTAGATGGAAATGCTGCAGGGGAAAACCTTTTTGAACCCCAGGGCTACTTCCTTATATAGGCTATATACTAGGCATGTGCAGCCCTAAAGGGTATGGTTTTTCAGCTGTTTTGGTCATAAATAGGTATCGATTTTGGCTATTTTGGTCATAAATAGGGTATGGTTTTTGCACCTCTAGTCCTGAATTGGGTATGTTTCTTAGAAGAGGCTACTTTTTCATCATTATCGATAAGACCATCAACAAAAGCCCTTCATATCTTATGTTTAGGGCAACTGTGCCAGCCACAACGGTTATAAATAGGGTATCAAATGTTTGGTCAGGGTAGCAAAAATTGCAGATTTTGGTCATAAATAGGNCCCCCCCCCCCCAGGTATAGAACCAACCACTTTTGACACACTAGGGTGACTTTGTGATGATGCAAAGACCCAATTGTACCATTGGGATTTAGTTTAATCTAGAAAGATTTGGTAAGGGGCTGTGGCTAAGGTGCATGTGTTCTGTTGATGGATATAGGACCCAGTCTCCTCCTCCCTCACCCCTGATGGGTGAAAGATATTTCTACCTACTCCCCTTTTGGGAGCAATTTCACCCTTGGCCCAATCGACTCTTTTGAGCAATTCCACAAGTTATTGGATAATGTGATCTGCCATTTCACAATGATTGAACCTATATAGGTTATCACCCAGTTGTTTTTTTTTTCTTCTTCTTCTTCTTTTTTTTTTTTTTTCTTTTTTTTTTAGCTGTGATTTTCATTGTGTTGTATTTCATTTAATTCATATTAATTCATTTAATTTCTATTTTGTGGTACAGGAATGAATGGGTTTAGCGACCCTGGCATGGCTAGGAATTTCCTCAGATCGTGAAAACGCTTTGATCTTTTTTTGCAGGAGACGGAGATTGTCTATGATGTGTACATGTCTCACAGTCCTAAGGACCATGACTCAGCCCTTCAGATTGCAAAGTTCTTAAGGACTGAGAAAAAAGTCAGAGTGTTTCAGGAATTTCAAGAGCTCAATGATAATGAATCTTGGCAGGAAGAGATATTTGACATCATGGGCAAGTGTGCACGTGTTATTGCATTGTTAAGCCCGGGTTACTTGGAAACAGAGAGCTGCATTGAACAGTATAACATGGCGTTGTGCATTAACAGACGGTCACATGGAACAGTGCTAGCTCCATTTTATATCACCTCCATAGATTATATGCCGACATACATGAGCCTCATTCAGTATGAAGATTGTAGGTAAGGTTCTCTCTTTACATTGTTGATTCAGGTTTAAAAATTACTTTTTGAACACTGACAAGTGACAAGTTTATTCAGCTCTTTGACCAGCAAATATGTGTTAACCCTAACTTCCCAAATTGAATTTAATATTATTATTATTACTGCCAAACACCAGAACCATTCCGAACATAATATCATAAAATTGTTGAGCTTAGGAGCAGGTTTCAATCAGTCCTGTAAAATATTTAAAAAAAAACATCTTGTACATCTTTCTGAAGGCGTTCTGTTTATTTACAAACAAATACACACAAATTGGTGCCAAGCCAGTGAAAACACTTATGACATTTTGAGACCAATCCCAAGGCATAGAGACAAAACCAAAGTGCTTTTGGATTTTAAAATTGTTTTCAATGCTCAATAATTCATTAAAAAACGATCCACACGTTCCGCAAAATTTAAATTGAAATAATTAACTCTTAAGTTAGCGATCTTTATGTGGTGGGCGCTTGTGCGCAGCACTTGCAGTTATCAGCTCTCAAACGACATTTATTTCTATACCACATGAGAAAAGAATAAAAAAAATCACAAAATCAGTAACAAGAAAAAGATTGTCATTGGAAAAGTTTATAACTGACGTCAACAACTTATTTATTATGGCAAGCATTACAAGAATTAAAATGATAAGCCATACGGATAATCCGTAAAGGAGTCTATAACCCCAATTAATGTCAAAGATTTAACATCACAGTCACTACAACTGAGCAATAACCGCATGTCAGGTAGCGTTTTTCTCTGGTCACCCCCCTCAGGCCAAAAGATAAAGAAAAACTCCAAGCAGCTAGTAATGATGTGGCAGATTCACTGAAGAAGACGGAGGAAGAAGTCTCTTCCAGCGTGCCCACGATGACCAGCAAAGCATCAGGTTATGATGTGTTCATTTCATACTCGCATCAGAACAAGACCCATGCCAACAAGGTGTTGGAAACCCTGAAGTCGCTTGCTCCAGACTTAAGAATCTTCATTGATACAGCCGGGTTGAATACGGGGACCTCGTGGCAACAAATACTGTACAATGCGCTAGGTAAGATCAGTTCAGAGTAGTTTTCCATTCAAGTAATGAATGATGCGCTTTACTGTTTTCCAGCCTTGACGCAGGTCTCTTGTTTTGAATAGATGCTTCGAGTTCCAATTGGTTCATTACATTTTGTACCTGTCCTTTGGCTAAGCCAGCTGTGGTTGCGCCATGGCTTAAATATGCTGTTGTTCTGTCTACAAGAAATGAAAGGCATGACATGCTTTGGGCAAACATACTCTAGTATTCTAGACATACTCTAGTATTCATCAGCGAGAACGCGCAGGTAGTAAACGCTTGGACCTTTTTGTCTGTTTTTTTCTTTTTCTAAGAGACTTTGCTGCACATACCACGAATTAATATCCAAATTCAATAAGGTAATGAATTACACTGCACAAATTACACTGCACAAATTACACTGCACAAATTCGTCGCAAACGTGGAAAGAAATACTTCAAGACCGAATTTATAATAGAGACGAATTATCCGACGCCGAATTTATTTTAGGAGACGATTTATCCATCTGAGACGGATAAATCGTCTAGGTATAAATCTTGTGTTTAGACTAATCCTGTGGCAAAATTGGTCTTCAACTGATTCGTCCGAAACGTGGAAAGAAATACCGTTTTAATGTGTGATGAATAAATTCGTCAAATTGCGATTAGTATTCAAAAAAACGCGGTCCAAGCTTCTGACAGCAAACAGTTTTGCACATGTAATTACCACTCTGTTTTCTCTCATTTTTAGATGCCTCCAGAAGCACCATGGCGCTGTTGTCGCCAGACTACATCAAATCCAAAGTGTGTTACGAGGAATTCTGTCTGTCACATGCGCTGTTTGTGGATAAAGACAGGTGTATGGATCTTGTAAGCTTGTTAGTGGAGCCCGTACAAGAACTGTCCCTCTGGTGCCAGCAGCCCGTCCCTGCTGACTGTGTCTCGTCACACTTAGACACTGACCAGGTTCTGTCTTCAATCTGTGCTGACTTGGTTAATAGACTGAAAGGTAAGCGACATACTTAAACAGAACTCATTATCTTATTAAACGCGCCGTCAAGCATAAACGCCACGCGGTCACGGTGACGAGGTGAGTGAAATGGTCCACTTTGCCAACACAACGTTACGTATCATTGATGCAGTTTTTGTCATTTTAAGCCTGTTCTCCTTTGGAATCCGGTAAAATTGTGATTGAAGTTTTAATTTTTTTTCTGAAAATCTTTGCAATCTAATTGGGAATTCCCTGCCTTCAACATCATGTTTTGTTTGGGAATAACAGACTTCGTTTCCGTTGCCAACCAAAATAATGCCACACGAGTCTTAGACCCGGTTCATACGTCGCATTTCTGCCGTGTCGAATTCAATTCAACGAANCTTAAACACGTTCAACCTCCTTTCCAGGGTCCTCTCTCTTCTTCCAGAGGACCCTGGGAACGAAGTTGACCAATGTTTTCAGCTGAGTCCAAGCCTCGTCATAAAGCAGTTAACTCGACTCCTCACCAATCCCTCGCGGCTCCATGGCCAAAACAAAAGACCCCGTCAGCTACGCAGGCTACTATCAGTAAACCTCAATTGACCGCTTTACGTTGCTGCGTCTTGGTTTTTAGGTACCAATAACAAGACAGACGACATTCTCACGCAGCGGGTGCATGATCTGAAGAAGGAGGACCTTACACTTGAATTGTCCATGGACAACTACAGGAAATCCTGCTTTGTGCTCCGATCGGGTGTTCTCAAAACGCCTGTTGAATTTACTAGCAGCAGAGAGAAAGAATCTTTGAGGACGAGTCATGCTAGCGACGTGGTTATGTCTGTCGACGGCCACCATGTCGGCGTTGATTCTGAATGCTCTCAAGTGACGTCATCGAAACCTACGTCAGAGCAATTGACGTCAGCGAGGTCTGCCACTTGCGATGTGGCCCTGAGTTATGCTGAAGGAGATAAAAGAGCAGCGGTAATATTGAAGCAGCTACTACTCGAGAAAGTGCCCTCCTTGAAGATCAGCGAGCCGGTGGCGGGAGACTTCTCCAGGGTGCAGTCGCTAGATGCGGCGCGTGTTATTGTCCCTCTTTTGTCGCCAGCCTTCTTGGCGTCGAGTGAACTAGTAGAGGAACTAAACATTGCCATTTTTCGGAATCGAAGTGCGTCGCGGCGAATACTGTTTCCAGTTCAGATAGCGACATATCCTCCCAAACCCTCGTACGTTCATTTGATTCCGTGTGAATTCTCGAACTCTGATTACAAATGGGCTCACAAAATTGTCGACCTGAACCTACAAGGGGAAGTATCTTTATTGGCACAAAGGAATTTTATAGATGTCGACGAGGCGTTTTGCTTGAAAAACGCGGCCACTTTGATTTGCGAACGACTCGTAGAAGAAAGTAAACCGGTTTTAAGTCCTGTCAATTGGGTTTTGCTGAATGTTCACGTGATAGAGGAGGAATGGAAGCAAGTTAAAATGGCGCTTCAGCAAGAAGAAGGACTAGAATCTTGGAAAACAACATTTGGAATTGAAATAAAGAGCACGGAAGGCGATTTAAAGCCGGCCAGAATAATTGAACAAGATGACGTGATGCCAGACGTTGAAACTCAACTGGTAATTGGTGACGAAAATGAATCGAATGGGGTAGAGTTACATCTAAAGGACATCACAAACAATGAGCAGAATTCGACCGTGGGATCTGATAATCAGGATCAATCTCAGGAGTTAACGAGAGAACATTCCTTGGAAAATGAATCAAACAAGGTGGAAAAGAGTGTACGTTTTCAAGATGAGTTGACAGACGAGCAACATGCTGCTGTGGCAGCTGATAATCAGCCTCGATCCCGGGAGCACGAGGGAGAGGCTAGGTCGAAAGACTCGAAAGAATCAAAAGCTTGTTCTTTGTTATAAGCCGAAGATGTATTTCTAGAAAAATGAACAGGCGAAGGTAACAGAACTAATTTACCACCAAGTCATACCATGCAGTCCGTGTTCAATTTGGCGGGTCACGTGTCTTCTGAACCGGTAATGCGAAGGGCAAAGAGTGTTTCAATGAAGAGGAAACTAACTTCCTGCACTTGCGCATTCTTTCACGTTTGCACTGCAGGTTTATCAGTTCCAAAACGCCAGCAGTGTAGAATACCTATCTGAAACTATAGCTTGCTAAAGACCCTGTTATATTATTTTCTGGCAACTTTTCTCGATATTTTTTTTTTTTTGNGGGGGGGGGACACAAGCTATAGAAAAATTGCTCTTTGTAACCGTGATTCCTTGTAATGTCTTGAAGAGTTGTTGCAGCTAAGATTGCACGAAGTTGAATCAAGCTTTTCTTTTCTTAACGATTGTTGCGTTGCAAGATCTGTTCATTACAGGAAGATCGTGTAACAAGAACCCGCGCGTTTTCTTGCCCAAGTTTCTTCTCGGGCTTTTCCTCGCTCGCTCGCTTACTCCCAACCAACCGACCGAGAGCCTGGGAAAGGCTACGTTCTTAATGAATTAATCCCAAAGGAGAATTAGAAAAAATAATTCACATAATTATTTTTGACACCTTGTATACCAATGTCCTATCCTGCACTAGTGCTCATGATGTCCTATACATTTTCACTTGCGTATTTGAAAGTGTTTGAAGATGTTTGAACATCACTGTGTATTTCAATAACTTTTGGTACAGTAAAGCTTAATTGATGTAATTTGATCAGCAGATGCCGCAGTAGACGGCTTTGCTAATGTGGCAGCTTTAATAAAGGCTCGAATTATTTCCTTTTACCTGCCCTTCACAATTTGCTACAATTCGCGATTTAATAATCCCTCCATTTTTAAGACGCAGAATATCCTGAATGCGGATACGTTGTAATAATTTACGCGAAATTGGCCATTTCCGAGTTCTTTTTCCCCCATTTTGAAGCCAGTCTTTTTGTGATACCCTCTTTTTGAAAATGAGTTTTAGAAGTTCATTTTAATGCGAATCAAATTTATTTTCATTTGATCGGTTTAGCACCATCACTGGTTTTAAAACCGAGGCTACGTATCGAGAAAAACTGAAGTACCATTTCCGCGTTCCCATAAATTTGTAACACCATGCCAGAGACTCGTGAAATTTCTGCAAGGATAGCTAATTCTACAGAATGATTCTTTCAATCACCAGAAAAAATCGTGCACAAGTAAAGTGAAATTAATGCCGGAAGCGAATAGTAACTCGACGCGAACTCCACATGGCCGGTATGGCCTGGATAGCGAGTGTTCCACTGCTAACCTTTTATCTCCCTGTGCCGAGAAAGACAGTAACCCTTTACATGTAAGCCGGACAAGCTCGTGGAGAAAGGGTGAAGAGAAATATAAGTAGTGCTGAGGAGGAAGGAAGGTTGCCAGTTCGTTTTGTGAGCCTTATTGCAGCCCACTGTACCTCCCGGTGGGGACGGCGAAACGACTGCGCTTCAGCGCGTAATAGCCAAGTGTCCTCACAAAAACAAATTAAGAAACAAATATCAAATACAGATTTCCTGCTGTATAAGGAAGTTTTTGAACAGTCAAGTCAAAAACACTTCAAAGCATACGTAATATATATAGGCTATACCCATAAAATGATTCGTTTTCCATGGCGTTCTCCTCGACCGGTCGATTAAAAAGATATAAAACGAAGGAAAAACGGGCAAAAGAAATGTTGGCAGATTATCAAATAACTCCAAGCGAACCTTGATTATATCTTCCCCGCGACTGCAATGTTAGTGTCATACGATCTAAACGTCGTTATGGTCCGTTGTGGGGGCTGACTTAGATGTCAGTCACTTGAACACGTACATCCTGTGTATATGAAACGTATTAAACTTGGGAAGAACCAAAAACACGCATCAGGCAATGAAGAAAAAACTTTTCTGTTTTTTTTTTTTTAATCTTTCCAAAAAAAATGCCTCGCTCGGGCGATGGGAAACAAAACATTTCGTGACCCGGGTTTATAAAAATGATCGTAGGAATTAGGTAAGCTAGAAACTGTAGAAACAGCGGTTTTAAGCTGTAGTTTATAGATGGAAAGAGAGAAAGCATCGGGGTTTTTCCATGTTTTGTTGTTGTTTCCTAGATCTCGTTTTTCCTTTAAAACCCATGGAAAATGGCCAGTGGAGGATATGACGCTCTGAAGCCCTGACCAGTGCGGTATTTGACCGTGTAAGCTCGCCAATATTTTGCGGAGAATGACCAATGTAACCTACGATCAGGCGTTCTTTTTCTTGGTGGAAGCGGAAGAGAGTGAGAAATTAAAGAACGGCTTATCGTAGGTTATGACCAATTTGACCACAAGTCATGCTCGGGGGCTTGGCTAGGGTGGGAGAGGGGTTGGGCGTAAAGTGGGTTACGTAAGAAAAATCTCCGGGGTAGCGGAACGCGGCAGAAGAAAAAGAATTTTTAGGCGCTTTCGAGTTTACCTTTCTAAGAATAATGTTGTATTTTTCTTGTATTTTAAAAATGGCTTAGTTGTGCCGATAACTGAATTTTTTGTCTTCCTTGTGAAATATTGCGTGACGAACACAAAAGATTGACGGGACAATAGAAGTTCAGCCAATCAGAAGGCATGTTTACCTTTGCCGACGTGAATATTTATGTGCTCGTCCGAAACGAAAGTTATGTCATCGATTGAATTGAGAAGTCTTGAAACTGTGGTGTCCTTGCTGATTGAAACTGGGGAAAAGCTAGCTGTACTCATGAACTTTGGTCACGATTAGTGTAGTATGGAAGCTGAAGAGGAAATGAAAAAAGGAAACTTTGCGAAAGCCCGCCAAATGTTCGACAGCGTGCTTCGAAAAGACAAGAATAAAATGCAGTGCCTGCTGGGGAAGGCTGATTGTTTCGCGCTGGAAGGACGGTGGACCGACTCCCTGCCACTTTATTGCGAAGCATTCAAAAACGGAAAAGTTAAACCTGAGCGATTGTTTCAGCTGGTGAAAGGACTAACGCAGACGATCAATATCGAGCGAGATTGCTGTCGATCAAGAGATGACGACGGTGCTAGCGTTTTGCAGTGTGGAATCTGTTCCGGTATACTTTGCGACCCTGTCACTGTTCCTTGCGGGCATTCCTTTTGCAAATTGTGCTTGGAAAAGCAAGAGGCCAAAAAATGCGGGCACTGCAGCGAGCCGTTCGCCTTCGTTTCTCTGAAGGTAAACGTTATGCTACAAGACATACTTCGGAAGTCGTTCGACAAAGAATTAGAAGCCACTCGCCTTCGCCTCGAGGGGAATAATTTGCATAGGAAAAAACAGAGTCTGGAAGCAATCGAAAAATACCGTGAGGCAGAAAAATTCAGTAAGTATTCAAGTTGTTTCTAGTGAAGTTTTTGTTTCCAGGTGAAGCTAGACCGAGTTTCGTTCATTACCAGCTGTGACAAACCTTACAATTGTGTTACGTAACATTTCGTCCAAAAGTAAGGTTATAATCGCCAAATTCCCATATCCAGTATTTTACTACAAATATACAATTTCGATTGAAAATGGTGTTATATCCACATTGTACTTTATCTCTGAAAATTAAGATATCTTTTGAGGACTTATAGTTGAGGATGTTGGGCGTCATAATATAAATCTAAGCTTAGGTATCGTTCCTTTTGTGCAGGCTCAGCTCTTCACAAATCAATCCACGTTTAGATTAAAGAGTATTTTTTATGTTCCTTAATTACGTTCTCCACGGTACGCATTTCACGTAAATTATGCGAGTTTTAATTTCCATCAGTCAAGGTCCCATAGACTAGGTGAAATGTAGCATGTTACATAATAGCCGCAATTATGTAATTTATATATTTTGATTAGAGTACCACAGGGCAGGTCAAGTGGTAAGTGTGGACTTAAAGGTTACATATGATATTACGAGGTCACGCAGAGATATGAGATTTCTCTTTGAGTGTTGAAAAATATTTGATGAGTGAGCACAGCATTTCCATGAGTGAAATATTTTTCAACATGAGAAGAGAAGCTATTTCATATCTCCAAGTAGTCATGTAATGTCCTAGTTAATATAAAAACACCAATGAAATAACGAACCATTCAACTTTCCCTGCGAAAGGTGCGATTTATTTTGCTACCATAACAATGCAATCTTTTCACACGTGAAAGTGACGTTATTTTCACGTGTGAAGATATCATGTTTTCGCAAAAAAGCTCACCTGGTATTTCATTGGTGTTTACACATGTATAATAAAGTAAGATATGGTTTAATGTTAGCCAGTTTATTAATACTCCCTCTCTGACATTCAGTCTGAACAATTCCACTGATTGCAATTCTACTTAGCATGCTGAAGTCCACGTTGCACTGTTAAACAATTCAAAGCATTGTATTTACCCAAAAAAGTGCTGTGCACATAAACCTTTTTTTGAGGTATTGATGTGGTGCTTAGTCAAGGGCAATGCTTTTTTGAGGACAGCACTTTTTACAACCAGCCGAATGCAGCATTGAGGGAGCTTCGTCCTGCTACCAGATATAACTTAATTACCTTTCATGTCAGGAGATATTTTTGATCATCAGTAGATAAACTGGGAAAAACTTTTAAAAGCATGCTTAGCACAAATATGCTGATTGCTTGTATAGGTATTTTTGCTTAAAATGTGATCACAAATGCTGTGGTGTTCACTTGTTTATTGCAGACAAATCCGACCATTTAGTTCAGAGTAACATTGCTTGTATTTTACTTGCACTGGGACGATTTGAAGAGAGCCTTCTGCCAGCCAATAAGGCCTGTGAACTTCAGCCTGACTGGCCAAAGGTGAGTCCCATAATTAGGTTTTATTAATTAATGGTTTAGTCTGTTACTACAGGTCTGCATTTGTGCACGTTTTAGCAATAATTGATGCAGTTTATTTTCAATGCTGTATGTGAATGTGTGTATATGAACCAGAGATTGCATGATAATGACAATCTATGAGCTATACAATAACTAGGTATTTAAATACAAGTAAAAGGGAGAGGTACATAATTTTATAAACAAACCCTTTTCAAGCGAGAAAGCACAATTTTTTTTTTCACTTAAGCCACTACTGACCTTACTTACAATATGACCGTTACTTACACTACGATTACTACTAACACTACGATTACACACAACAACTACTACAGATGCTCTGCCTACACAACTGATAATACGAATCTTACTCTNATTATCATGAATGTACATATAAATTTACATAATTTACAAGCAGCACTTACTCCTTTACAAAAAAAATTGGATTGTTATTCAAAACTAGGTTGAGAAACCACAATATATTATGTTAGATTAACTAGCACACCAAATGTTTGATGAGAATGTTTGAGCTAAGGGCATCAAAACCAACTTAGCCCATGTGTCAGGAGTAACAGCAAACTGCTATAGCTAAGGGGTCCTAAAAGAAACCTGTCTAGTGAAAAGATTCTAGGAGGTACAGTATGTGTAAGAGGGTAGCAAACAGGTGTTGTGACCCCTTTCACACATGAATTTTTAAAAAAATTACTCACCAAATATACCTTAAGTTACTGTCAATGATGTTGTTTTTTTCTTAAATTAATGCATATTGTATGTCTTATGGTTACTTTTCAAGCATCACACACTACTTTTGCCTTCATCGTGTGTCACACATAAATCCTTTGTTTGAAATAGTGGGGTTCAACTGTAATGTGCGTCAGTAATGTGACCAGTAGGCACTTTGTCTTTGAATTCCTTAGTATGGAGGCGTTAATTAAGCTGTAAATAGGCCATTTCCAAGTTACCTTGTGTCTCTGGTTCAAAACGAGTCCTCGTGCAAAACCTTTCAAATGAAAATGAGTTTGATTTACATAACAATGAGCCTGTAGGTGGAACACATTTTCAAATGAATGGTTTTACATGAAGACTCCTTCTGACACAGAGGCAAACACTAACTCGGAAATGGCCTACATGTATTTGTTTGACTGATTTTTGTTTCGTTGTGCGTATATTTCTGTAGGGATATTACAGAAAAGGTTGTGCTCTATTAGGCCTCAATAAGAAGCCTGAAGCAGCTGTGGCATTTTTGCATTGCCTTGCACGAGATCCTGACAAAACAGGTGTTAAAAAGTCACTGGCCAAGGTGTGTGATTGGAATATGTACCTACATGTATTTCCATTTTTTCATGTTTTTATTTTCATTGACGTCAGCAAAGATTGCATTATATATTAAGTAGTCATCACATGAATACATTTTTGTGACTACTTCAATCTCTCTGTAATATATCGCATTGTAAACCCCAGCACCGGTGAACAAGTTGTTGTCAATGTGTTAAAGTTCAATTTTTGAGACAAATTAATTTTCTGAGTTATTAGCACATAGTTACTTTTATGCTATTGTACAAAATGATTTCTTTTACGTGTTGCAGCTCATTCATGAAGTCATCACTGAAGATACTCCATGCTCCAGTTGTGCTAAGAACCAAACTGCAGGCGATCACAGCAGTTGTGCAGCTGGAAACACAGAACCCATTTTACAAAGACTTACAAATCTAATTGATCTGGTAAAACAGAGCAAAGCAGGATCTATTGAAGGTAAGGTACATGTCTTAACTGCATGGATGTCTGGTCTGCACCGAAGACAAGGATTTCCGGTAGAAACTAACAGCAGCTGAACTTGCGGAGCTGATTTGAGATGCAACTCTCCACTTGATAAATCTATTGAAAACTTGACAGAAACAAAAATTACGGAAGACTACTGTTGTGATCAAAATATTTTTAACAACATCAAGCAACATCAACTCCAGCTTTAGAAAAGCTCTTTTTACAATAATTGAATGGATTATAAACCACCAACAGTGTTTTCAAGTGAGGCAAAGTTTGGAAACAGGGCAGGAAAAAAACCAGGTCTGATTGCCTGGAGGAAGTAAATTTTGCTCTTGGGCAAGTGAAAAATGGAAGTTTGGTGGTCCAGTGGTCAAGTGAAAATAGCTTGTGAAGTCTTGTTAGTGATAATTTCCAGTCAACAACAATTTCAAAACTTAACACTACAATATGAGCAAAACAGTTGATTAGTTGTAGGTGTGGATTAATTTAGTTGGTAAGGCATGAACATTGTCCACCTATTGGGAAAGTAACATTTTAGTGGGGGCAACTGGAAACTGAAACGTACTGGCCCACTGAGTTACTGGATTTCAAAATCATTTTTCCTGCCCTGCTATAGGTATCAAAATCTCCATGTGCAAGACATTAAACTCACATAATGATCTTTTAAAATCTGTTTTTAACAGAAGATACTGAAAGTGAACCTGACATCAAGAAGTTAAGACTTGACAAGTGTTGTTGTGTGGAGGACCTAGAATGTACTTTATGTTGCAGGTAACCTTATGTCTTTGTTCACATATTTATTATATTTAACCTGCATATATAAACACTGCATTATTGCCAAGCATGGGAGGGGGAACAAATAGGTACGCAAAAATTTATGTGCTGCAACTGTAGGTAGAAAAAGAAGAATTTAGAGGGGGAAACATTATTTTTTCCTTCCCTTCTATTCTTTAAAACATGGCAACCAACCGTCTTCCATGTGGTACTGCAGGATGTTCAGTTGTTGTGGATGGGGCACAGTTGTGTTCCCACCAACCTTTCTTTGACCCTCCCCCTTCCCAGGTGTTCTTATGCCAGGTTATCATCCTTCACAAATAGGACATGTACAGTAATCTATAGGCTAATCAAGGCTGACAGGAACTAGGTGTAAAAGGAAAAAAAAAGGTTATGTAATTAATATTTACAATTATAAAAAAAGCACTGCTCAGAGAAACAGAGTAAAAGGAAAAACAAGTGGACTCTGACAGGTTCTCTCTCCCCCCCCCTTCCCTAAGCTGATGATAATTACGCCATTTGGACCTTAAAAAAGGGTTTCTCGACATCATCATAAATCAACCAAAATAAATGAATCTGCAGAAGAGAAAATGAGTATATTCAAGTTTGAGAGTGAAAATGCTTAGCCATGTTCTCCATTACACAATACTTAAATAGGGAATTGTTAGTAAAATCTCGAAAGTCAGGGTTAACAAATGCAATGTGTACATGTGCCAGAAACTGTACCATTCATGGAAGTAGGTTAATGGGATGGTCTGACTTATTTTTGTCATTTAGGTTGCTTTATGAACCAGTCACCACACCCTGTGGCCATGTGTTTTGTCGTTCCTGCCTTAACTGCAATCTTGATCACAGACCAACCTGTCCCATTTGCAGATTTTCTTTGAAAAAGGTACATTTAAGCTTTTACAACGGCAATATTAAGTCTCTTTGGTTTGCTAAGCAACACACACTTCCTTCTCCATAACAAAAGGTTTGTGTGATAGGGCAAAAAAATTACCACCCTGCAATTACACCATGATAAAGTTCCCTCTCAGCTGTTCAAACATATCTGAAGCTTTTCAACTGAACATGACTGTTTGAACATAAATTTATATTTTTGTTTAAAAGTTGTATCAAAGAGAAACCAAGAGTCCCTTTTGCAAATGACTGCCTTGTCTTATAGGGAAGAGGTTTGCAAATGTCTGTCACAAGTGCACCGATCAAATAGGCTAAGTCCAATTGCTGGTCAGGGTCACTGTGTTGTTGTTAAGGCAAAACACCTTACTCTCACAGTATCTCTCCCAAACTGTCAGTCCATAACTACCAAGGGTAATCTACAAAGGGAGTATCTGTAATACTCCAGGTCACTTAAATTGCTATACCAACAAGGATACACTCTGGTATTAGACTAATTCTTACTGCTTAATTTTTTTCAATTTCAGTTCCTTGCTGAAAGAAATCAGGTAAGAATTAAAGATTGGTTCAATTTACTTTTTTTTTATTTTTAGTGTGACAGTCGAAGAATACCCATGCAAACATCCAATCTGAAACCAAAATGTTTTCTGAATAATTATCATTCTAAGGTGTATGGTAGACCATTTTAAAAACAAGTATTTGTAGGATGACCTACATATGTAAGAAACACCAAGTGTTCATCTCAAAACCACACACTGCTGGTTGTAAGTCAGATCACTTAAAGAAATCTCTCTTTGTATTCTACTGCTCTTGTGTTTATCTGCTACTTAGCAAGATAACACTTCATTACGTCTAGTGTCAATGTTCATTTTATCACATTGAACTTACAAATAAAATTATGTCTTTAAAACAGGGTTGGGGTGCAAAGGTTGTTTGGTATATCCGTATGATAGATTATTAATCTTAGTTTTGTTGGTTTGTTAAAACTGGGTTGTAACGCTCACTGTAGCTGGTGAATGGGGTACAAGGTACATGTAATTGAGCCTTGATCCAACAGTCGGACTAGTTAGCTTTGCTCTATCCTCAGAACATCACAGTTGCTGTAAACAGGCTAATTGAAACTGCCTTACCAGAGGAGTATGAAGAAAGAAAGAAACTTCACCAAGAAGAAATGGAAAAGTTAGCCAGGTGAGAAGAAAGATCAATCTGGTGATGAATTCTTCCCTTGAAGGACCCAGAGTTCCCCATCCAGGAGTAGGAATGGGTAGCAGGACAACCTGACGGAATGCTGAGGGTAACCCTGTGATGTACAAGCATCCCTTCCAGGGGGAGTGGTGTCAATGCCCCTGAGCTACAGAAACTGGCAAGGGCACCAGCCAGTTGAGCCTCAAGGTTCAAGAAGAGTGTCACTGCATTGACAGAATTAGAAAAATTCCACCACTAAGCTGCCCAGCAAACCTTATTATACCACAGTCATGTATTTATGCCCACCATGTATGTGTAAGAGCTGAGAATGATTCCAATTCTATTCTCATGTTTGCTGTAGCGTGGCCAGTGACACCACAGAAGATGTACCTATCTTTGTCTGCACCTTGGCATTTCCATCACAGCCTTGTCCACTGCACATCTTTGAACCTCGCTATCGTCTGATGGTTAGGCAGTGCATGGAAGCTGGATCAAAGCAGTTTGGAATGTGTCTACACAGTGAGGAGAAGGGGTAAGGGTGACACTGGCAAGAGGTTACAGTCATTATGATTCACCATGGGGAATAATTAAATGGAATGGTGACTTTCTTAGAGAATCATACGACTTTTGACAGTTACGTAACCTAGTATAAGCAAGTGTTGCAAAAATATGATAGTACTGGGGGGAGGGGGGAAACCATTGCCATACCCTAAGAGGATTTTTTTGGGTTTATGTTTTGATATCAGCTGGGGAAAGGATCTTAATGATTTTCTTCTCTCCAATTTTCCTCTTTTCACATAGTACCTTCTCCCAGTGCCATGTCACCTTGTTAAGTGGCTTTTTATCAGAAAAATATATAATCACCAGTACTAGTGTTATTTATGAGTTTTTTTGTTGCATTGCAGTTTTGTAGATTATGGTGTTATGCTGGAGATTAATGACCTGCAATACCTTCCAGATGGAAGGTCTTTCCTTGACTGTGTTGGTGGAAGGCGCTTTAAGGTTAGAAATATAATAATGGAATAAGTAAACAATAGCCTCCATTTGGTGCAAAAATATGCTCGGATATTTGTCCACAGACATAATCTGTTCCAAGAAGTGAACAGTTTTCCGAGAGCGTCAGCTCAAGGAAAACTGTGAGTTTTGAGGAACAGATAATGTCCAAGGACAAATATCTGAACATATTTTCATGCCAAATGGAGGTTATTGTGTTTATTATCCTTCAAATATTTTTCCCAACACAGACAGTTTTTAAAATTGGGGAATATCACTCAGATGTTCCCCAGTTTTAGCAGAGGCATATTCAGTCAGGTGACGCATTTAGATCAATAGTGTGCGAGCGAGAATATTTGATGAATCATACAGTAATTAGTAATACTATTTTGTTTTATTTACCATGCTCAAACTATTTCATTATTTATCATACAATGCTGTCAACATGGCTGATCTTACCATTACGCATTTGAACATAGTGACTGCCTTAGCTCACCACAACACTATTTGACTAGCTCAGGGGTTGGAATAGTACCTTACTGATAAAAAAATGTGGAAAGTCATTGGCTTGAATCCTACTGGGACTCATTTATCTTTATCATTTGATTGTTCAGAAGTTGCACAAATAAATGTAGTTCTAAAGCAGTCAAAATCTTAGTACCAAGAATCAACAGTCAGCATTATTAAATGTCATTCTTTCATTTCAAAAATTTTGAAGAATGATGTATGTTGTAGATCTGGTCCGGGTTGTTCGAAAGCTGGTTAATGCTAACCTAGGATTAACAGTTAACAGAAGCATTAATTTTGCTTCTAGGATCTTTTTCCCTGCTTACTTTTTGTGTAGTTTGAGATTATTTAAACTCAGAACATAAGGATAAACAATGAAAACAGAAAAGACCACCACAAAGTTGCAAAACTGTTGTCAAAATTCTTGCTAATCCTGGTCTTGAACAACCCAGCCCTTATGTCTTTTGTTGTCGGATAGGTTCTTAAAAGAGGAATGACGAATGGATACCATACTGCCAAAGTAGAATGGATAAAAGATGAGCCTATTCCAGAGGAGGAACTAGGTAATTAGAAAATTATGACTTTTATTACATTTGTGAGAGAATGAAATATCAAATTGTTGTCCAAAGTTGTTGGGAAGGAATTCATGCTACCAATTATTGTTCAAGCAAGGTTAATGACGTAACTTTGACACAAATTCTTTGATTTAAAAATTTTCTTTAGATGACGTGAAGGATCTTCATCAAAGAGTTTATAACCAAGCTAAATCCTGGTTTACCAATCTGCCACTCATTCCAAGGGTAAGCTGTGATAAAATTATTAGAAAGAGGACAGTGTCCAAGTAAACGTGTGGACATTGCTTTAAGGCCTTCAACTACAACATGACGTCCATTAATGGCCACCTCTCTACAACAGCCACCGCCCGTCAACAGCCACTTTTTTCGTCCTGGTGGACAGTCCATACATTCACTCTTATTTTAACCTCTCTACAAGAGCCACCTCTCCATAACAGCAATGGCAACTAAAGCACGTCCCATTTGCCAAAATAACCTCTCAATAACAGCCAGTTAATCAATGACTGATGAACGGTGAATACCAAACCACACTTTTTACTGTTAAAGTTCATGAAAACTTGATCCACATCGCATGACGTTGGTCTCTGTTTGTTTCTGTTTGGTTTATTCTTATATGTTTTGACTGTGTTACATATGTATGTGCTACACTAAGCATTTTGTAAGAAATAAAAATGATGCATCCCTTCCAAAAAACAGGTGTCATATTACACCCCTACCTCCTCATAATGGTCGCTTCCCTACAACAGCCACATTCCTCTGTCCCCTGATGGCCGTTGTGGAGAGGTTCAACTGCAGTAAGTTTGTGTTGATTGTTTTTTTGTGTGTTTTTGCTTATTAAGAGACGGATCACCAACATGTTTTCTGAGATGCCAGACTGTGACAGTGAAATTCAGAATGTACCTCAGGGGCCAGTATGGATGTGGTGGTTTCTGTCCGTATGTCCGCTGCCACTTGAAATTCAGCTGGAATTCATTTCCATGCCGTCATTAAAAAGCCGTCTTGAAAAATTAGAACAACTCATAGCTTCACTTCAAACGTGCATATAAAGATATTATTATTATGATCTGCTGAAGCGGAATTGGATTATTTTTGTAGTATGCTTGTAACTAAAATAAAATTATTGTAGAAACTACTNACCCGTATTGTAAGTAACGTAAGTAAGTATTGTAGAACTGTGTTTTGTAAATTAAAATTATTAAAAAAAAAAACAAAAAAAAAAAAACATATCTACCACGCTGCCTAACCAGATGGCAGTTTTAAACTGCTACATTTAAATTTTTTTGCTTTCCGTTGTTTTAGAAAAAAATACAGAGTGGGGAAAAATGG